TTTAAATGATCTTTTACCTGTTTTTCAGTTGGATTGTTTGCCTCATTATTGAATTACAAGCATTCCTTATATATTTTTGGATACAAGTTCATATGTTTTGCAAATATTTGCCCCTAGTTTGTGGCTTGCCTTTTAATTTTATTAATGATGTCTTTTGGGGGCACCTGGGGCACTTAGTTGGTTAAGTGTCCAACTGTTGGTATTGGCTTAAGTCCTGATCTCAGGATTCTGGGAGCCCAACGTGAGATCATGGGATGATCTCACAGTCATGGAATAGAACAGCATGGAGCCTGCTTCTGAATTTTCAAGCAGTTCTTTTCTTTTTTTTTTTTTAATTTTTTAAAAAATGTTTATTCATTTTTGAGAGAGAGTACAAGTAGGGGAGGGGCAGAGAGCAGGCTCCATGCTCTGAGCTGTCAGCACAGAGCCCGACACGGGGCTTGAACCCACGAACTGTGAGATCAGGACCTGAGCTGAAGTCAGACACTTAACCAACTGAGCCACCCAGGCGCTCTCTCTCCCTTTTCTTCTATTCCTGTCCTGCGCGTGTGCACACACTCTGTCTCTCAAATAAATTTTTAAAAAATGATGTCTTTTGAAGAGCAAAAGGTTTTAATTTCATGAACTGTAATGTTTTTGTGTCCCTTTTATGTTTCATACTTTAATAACTAAGAAATCTTTGTTTACCCCAAGGTCACAAAGATTTTCTGCTGTTTTCTTCTAGAAATTGTATGATTTTAGCTTTTGTATTTAATTCTATGATCTCTTCCAGGTTAATTTTTGTGTATCGTATAAGTTAAGGGTCGAGCTTCCCTTTGTTTTCCTATAGGCATAGCCAATTTTTCCAGAACCATTTGTTGAAAAGAATGTTCTTTCCCCATTGGATTACCTTGACACTTTTGTTAAAAAAATCAACTGATCATTTACACGTGGATCTATTTTTAAACTCTTTGTTTTCTTCCATTGATTTTTATGTATCCTTTATTTACATCAGTGTATGAGTACCACATGGTCTTAATTTTTTTTTTTTTAATTTTTTTTTTTTTCAACATTTACTTATTTTTGGGACAGAGAGAGACAGAGCATGAACGGGGGAGGGGCAGAGAGAGAGGGAGACACAGAATCGGAAACAGGCTCCAGGCTCTGAGCCATCAGCCCAGAGCCTGACGCGGGGCTCGAACTCACGGACCGCGAGATCGTGACCTGGCTGAAGTCGGACGCTTAACCGACTGCGCCACCCAGGCGCCCCCCACATGGTCTTAATTTTTGTAGCTTTTAGTGATTCCTGAAATCTGGTGATGTGAGTTCTTCAAAATTGTTCTTTTATTTTTAGATTATTTTTGTATTTCTAGGTGCTTTGCATTTCCTGTCCATTTTAGAACAAAGGTAACTACTTCTACAAAAAAACTGCTGGAACTTTCATTAGGATTGTGTTGAATCATATATCAATTTGGAGAGAATTGCTTTTTTTTTTTTTTTTTTTTACAATGGCAAGTCTTCCAATCCATGAATACAAAATATCTTTCCATTTATTTAGTTCTCTAATGTCTCTCAACAATGTTTTATAGTTTCAGTATGCAGATATTGAACATCTTTTGTTCAATTTTTTCCTAAGTGCTTTTTTAAATGCTGTTATAAATGGAAGTAGGTTTTTTTAATTTTTCCAACTTTTCAGTTGTTACAGTTGACCTTGTTTCTTGTGCCCTTGCTAATTTCACATAATTTTTCTTTGCTTATTAGATTCCTTTCCAGTGTGTATGCTTTTTATTTCTTTGTCTTGCTTTTTTGCACTCATTAGGGCCTCATATTGACTAGAAGTGGTAAGAACACATGTCCTTACCTTGCTCCCTATCTTAAGGGGAAAGCATTCATTCTTTAACCATTAAGTATAAAATGTTAGTGGTTGGTTTCTCATAAATGCCCTTTCTCAGGTTGAGGAAGTTCTTTTCTGTTTCTAAGTTGTTGAATTATTATGGTGAGTGGGTGTTGAATTTTGTTAAATGTTTTTTCCCCATCTATTGAGATGATGATACAGGTTTTCTCCATATTATCAGTATGAGAAATTGAAATCGGTTTTTTTTTTTTTTTCAACGTTTATTTATTTTTGGGACAGAGAGAGACAGAGCATGAACGGGGGAGGGGCAGAGAGAGAGGGAGACACAGAATCGGAAACAGGCTCCAGGCTCTGAGCCATCAGCCCAGAGCCCGACGCGGGGCTCGAACTCCCGGACCGCGAGATCGTGACCTGGCTGAAGTCGGACGCTCAACCGACTGCGCCACCCAGGCGCCCCTGAAATCGGTTTTTCAAGTGTTATGCCAATCTTCTAGGGTAAACTCCACTTGGTCATGAAGTATTTTTCTTTTTATATATTAATGTATTTGACTTGCTAATATTTTGTTAAGGATTGTTTGTGTTTATGAGTGATATTAGTTTTTTGTTTTTAGTTTCCTATGACATCGTCTTTAAGTTTGGTTATTAGGATAATACTAATCTTATAAAATGAGTTGGAAAGTGTTCTCCTCACTTTTCTGAAAGAACTTGTGTACTGTTTGTATGATTTGTCCCTGAAATGTATCATAAAATTCATCAGTGGAGTCATCTGGGCCTACAGTTTTCTTTTGGGGAAGGTTTTTAATTAATTATGAATTTATTACCTTCAATGTAGTGCTATTCAGGTTTTCTATTTCTTCTTGAATCTGATAACTTGTGTCTTTCAAGGAATTTCTCCATTTTTATCCAGGTTGTCAAATTTATTGGCATAAAGTTGCTTACAATATTTTCTTATCCTTTTCTGTCTAAAAGATCTGTAGTGATGTCCCTCTTTCAATCCTGATAATTGGTAATTTGTGTTTTATCACTTTTTTCTTGAACAGTTTAGCTAGAGGTTTATTTTACTGATCTTTTCAAGGAATCACCTTTTGATTTTATTGATTTTTCTCTATGGTTTGTCAGTTTTGTATTTCATTGGTTGTCACTCTTATATTTAGCATTTCCTTCCTTGTAATTGTTTTGTTTTGTTTTGTTTCAGTATATGAAGTTTATTGTCAAATTGGTTTCCATACAACA